CTTAGGGGGGGGGCCCCCCCCCTCATCCATAACTTCTAATCCTCAAATCACTGAGGAGGGAGCTTTGGAGAGGAGATGAGTAAAAATAAAATTATCCAAAATAGTTACATTTGATATAAGCTTAGCACAAATGGAGAACACATTTAGTAAATGCCGTACTCGTAAAACGTCTTCCAAACCTGTTTTTATTCAGCAACCGCACATCAGCTATCAATGTCAACACGGACACAATCTTAGCTATCAATGTCAACACGGACACAATTCCCAGCTAACAATGTCAACACGGACACAAGCTCTTAAGCGATCAATGCCAAACCAATGGGCACAATCTTCACAGCTATCAATTTCAACAATGGACACAAGCTCTTAATTGATCAATGCCAAACCAATGGGCACGATCTTCACAGCTATCAATGTCAACACGGACACGAGCTCTTAATTGATCGATGCCAAACCAATGGACACAATCTTCACAGCTATCAATGTCAACATGGACACAAGCTCAGCTAATAATGTCAACAGGAACACAAACTCAGCTATCAATGTCAACACGGACACGAGCTCTTAATTGATCGATGCCAAACCAATGGACACAATCTTCTCAGCTATCAATGTCAACATGGACACAAGCTCAGCTAATAATGTCAACAGGAACACAAACTCAGCTATCAATGTCAACACGGACACAAGCTCTTAATTGATCAATGCCAAACCAATGGGCACAATCTTCTCAGCTATCGATGTCAACATGGACACTAGCTCAGCTAATGATGTCAACAGGGACACAAGCTCAGCTTTCAATGTCAACATGGACACAAGCTCTTAGTCGATCAATGCCAAACCAATGGGCACAATCTCTGCTCGTATGTTTCAATGAGGACCAAATTACTCTATCTCAGTAATCAAAGCAGAGTCTATACCAATTAATGTGTATTTGGAATGCTATGTTACATGTTAAGGTCATATTAAATTTACAAGATTTGCGCAGATATATATCAACGTAGTTAAGCTAATCACAATATGTAGCTAGTCTAATTGCATTACACGTTTTGCGTAATAGCCCGGTTAGATTTACATACAATGTTGCAATGTAATTTATCTAGGAATGTTCACTGTATTTATTACACACAATTAAAGAAAAATCTTTCTTTTCAAAGTTAAAGGTCGGGCTTTGGAGTGATGGAAGATGTAAATAAATGGTCAAACAAAGAAGTAAATAAAATAAAGTAAAAACAGCAAATATGCATTTTAGGCGTGTTTTATTCACGTGTAGAGATTGTATCTATCTTTATACTAGAAGAAACTTACACCCCACCATTCACCCTACCCCCCATTCCCTTTGGCCCTTTATTCCAACTTTTAAGGATCCCCCTGGTCCTAGGCCCCAGGGGCGTATTCAAGATTTGTCCAAGGGGGGCTTAAAAATTTGCCCGAAGGGCCAACAAATTTTGGGGTTAGCCCCCCCCCTTAATTGCTAAAACTAACCTAAAACAGCAGATGTTTTCTGAAAATTAACCACAATGAATTTTCTGAAAGAATTTTGACATTTTAATATTTAAAAAATAAGTTGATTTACATACATCACAGAATACAGATCATGATAATACTAAATATCGAATTAGGAAAATTAGATATTTAACCTTTAAAAAATAACAACAGTTTCTTCTCAATGATAAAAAATGAGTTTAATTGTGAATGCATTAAACTAGCAAATGCAAAATAAAATAATTTCTCATTAGTTTATAATTTAGAGTCCAGGGACCAAAGTTAATGAATAGTAAGATTGAGACTAAAATTTTTCTCTGATAATTAAAACAATACCGAGGGAAATTTAAAATCAAACGATATTAATATCATAAAACAAAACATTAAACATTAACAATGTGCGTGATATTAATAATATAAATCACTGTTCATCTTAGATTTCAGGTTAAATATTGTTGCCACGAAACAATACTTTGTGGCTTGAAGAAATCTTATCCATCTGCTCCACGTACAGGTTTGCCCAAAAAAGATGAAACTGTAATGACGACCTTTAGGAAGTATATGAATAGTACATGATAAATAACGAGGGTATAAAAGGAGGAGAAAAAAGATGATTAGGCCTTCTTTGGTTCGAGGTACCACAATCTGACACTTTTGGGGATTTTATAATCCCTGTTTCAGGATCGAATTTTTATCCCCCATGCATACTAATAAATATAACGATCTCTGAA